GGTCGGCTGGGCCCGGGGCGGAGAGGCTGAGGGGATCCGCGGCGTGCATCCCAAGAGCACCCTCAGGGCAGGCCCCGGAGCCGGGAGGGGAGCGGCTCGTGGTTAGGAAAGGTCCGACCGCCTTTTCCCCTTCCAGAAGTTTACCCCTGTGCGACCCGGGAAGGCAGAGCCCAGGGGCAGGACTGCGAGGAACCTCCTGTATCCTCCGCATTGACTCAAAATGGGTGAGAGAAGGATACAGCCAGGTACTGCCCTGCGCTCTCACAGGCACTAACAGCTGCCGCCACCACCACTAGCGTGTTATTTTCGTATTACTGAGCTGTGCAGGGCTTTAACTTCAAGTATTGTAGGTCCAGGAGATCAGGTTTATTGGAAGAATTGCATGGATACTCGTGGATTTACATGGAGCTGACTGGAACACTGAGAGCGAAGAGGGATTTGCAGGCACCGAAACCTGGAACAGCACTAGGTACTGCACATCAGGCTGTTTTTTTCTTCCTTTCACTTACATTGCAGGGTTGATACCTGTTATAAAGATGACTTAGGACACAAGAGTGACTTTTCCAAGGTGGGTTCCTTGTGATTCTGTTTATCTTCAGTCTTTTCCCCTGCTCAAAGAGCAGAAGATGAAAAATACAAACCCATTCAATACTGTGTCGATTTACCCAGCTGCTATCTGCTTGCTGTGAACAAAGGTATAGAAGATAGTCTCTAAGGCAACGCAACTTATCCAACTTCAAAACAAACAGGAATCTTTGGGGAAAAAGTGAAAGAAAAGAACAGCAACAGACCTGCTGCTAGTCAATGTTAAGATTTATTATTATTATAGCTAGACATATGCTACATTGTTCTCAAGCAGTACAATGTTTCAACTTTAAGTTTCTCCTGGAGACAAATTCAAGCAAATAAACAATGCTTTAAATGCTGGAAGAATGGTATTAAGCTCCAGTAAGTACACCATTGGTGTTTCAGGTTTTTATCATCTCCCAAGCAGAATGCAAGTTCTTAAAGGTTGTTAATGCTCCTGTGTAGCTGCACAGCATCTTTTACTATATGCAGGATTAAAATGGCACAATAGACATTCGAGTGCTAGTGCGTTTACAACACAAAACCAGGGATTTTTTTTGTTACATTCATCTCTTTCTCTGCAAAATTCATTAAAAACAAACCATGAATCAAAATTCTATTTTCTGTATTGTCCCCACTGTTTCAAATTCTTGTTACAGAATTTAATTTTTCATGTGAGAAAACGCAGGACACTTTCTGGTCCAAAACTACTTAAGGAAAGAGGAAAAACCCAGTGGAATACAACTATTTTGTGTACTTGTCATGTTCAGCAAGACAACTAGTCATCACAGCAATTCATGAAACAAGTTGCAGAAGGGGGGGAAGCCTTGGTTTTTACCCTTCTTTTTAAAATAAGACAAGGGAGTCAGTAAATATTTCAGCATTTAATTTCTCTTTGAACATCAGAAAATTAGAACTTTGATTTTTTTTTTTTTTACAATCACAGCTGCTTTCCTTATCTTCCATGTATGACAACCAAGAGCTTTGTCCACACATTTGAGTGTTTATGTATGCACTTTCTCAAAATATTCTTTAGAAGCTTCTGGGCTTGGTTTGATCTGTCAAAAAAAATAAAATTTGGTTATTATATGCTGTAACTAAGATACAAAAATTACAGATTATACATTTTATCCAAGAAAACCCATGCATACTTTATAAAAAAATAGGTTATGTCTGTTTCTGCACTTGGTTAAAAGATGAAAGCCTAAATGATGTACAAGCTCCTACTTGCAAATTTTAAATATATAACACATTTTTCCTGCTAAGTATCAAGCACTGCATTAAATAAGTAAAAAATCTGAAGACAACTGGTGGAGAGTACAGGTCAAATTTAGTGTTTTAAATACAATTTGTGTCTTCTAAAAGAAAATCAGTTACTTTCCTCACAGAAATCACATGTATTTAGTATCATACAAACAGACTGAATTGGTCCAACTGATAAAAGCCTCAGATTTAGACAACAGGCACAGATTCAGTCAAGCACCTCACGTTGAAGTGCTTCTCAGCCCTTCGGACATGCAAAAATATGCCAGTGTCTATATTTAGAAAGGTGATATTTAGGAGACACTTACTGTAGGGGAGTCCGGAGTCCAGTTTGCCGGGCAAACCTCTCCATGCGTTTCCACGTACTGGAATGCTTTCACCAAGCGGAGCGTCTCTTCCACACTACGACCGACAGGGAGGTCATTGATACTTAGATGCTTGATGATTCCATTTGGATCAATGATGAAGAGACCTCTATAATTGAGCAAGAATTTAGCGAATGCAAATCACATTCCAAGACCAAACACAAGACACTGGATAAACTATCTCAGCAAGGTAATTATTCTTAGATGCAGGTATCAGAGCCATTTGATACACTGTTAGCGCAGTGATCAAAAGCCACGAACCAGTCAACTGGTATGGTATTGTGAAACTACAAAGTACACATAGAGACTATTAAATAAAGACAGATGTGTAACAAAGGCAGAACTTCTAATTCCACCTATACTTCAAAGTTGATAGCTGGCATCCTTCCCATGGCTTTTTTTATATGGAAATCTGAAGGTATTGAGTGAATAGCTGCTTACGCATTAAGCTACTAAATTAAATCCTGTTACATATAAACATTTGTGAAAATCAAAGTCCCAGTCTTCCCATACGAATTAAGTTGTCAACAAATGTCAGAAGTTCCTGATCCAAAGAGATCAAGAACCAAAGGTCTCCAGAAGACTCCTACCCAATCCTCTGTTTCTCAGGGAACCACTATTTGCTTTTAATAAGTATTTCCCCAGTGGAGAAGGAAATGTCAGGTTTTTTATTCTAGATAATTATGGGATTAACTGTAGTGGCCTCTAGGGTAACGTCTCACAGTCTTCATTTGATCCTTGTGCAGTCTGCCCTGCAGGAGGAGACAGTATGGCTCTCATTGTTTCAGAATGGGTTATGCCATAACTGAGTTAACAGCAATCATACATTACCTTAGTGCTATACCAGGTCCTTCTAGCAGCACACCATAATCACGGGAGATTTGTTTTGTGAGGTCCGACAGAACTGGAATATTCATTTTGCCCAAACCACCACTCTGGTGAAAAGAGGAAGATTCCATTTTGTTACAAAATGCTCTTTAGTATTATCCTTCTTGAGTTGCTGGATTTGGTGCTCTTGAGGGAAGGAACCATGGGGAGTGGGAGGTTGTTGTTTTGTTTGGTTGGTTTTTGAAAGTAGTCAGGGACATTTACTTTCTTTGGAACATGAAAACTTCTGCACTGAGCACTTCAGAATTGCTTATTTTGGTGGTAAAAGTCATATGACAACAGTCAGAAAATATTTCCCTTGTACCCTATTCAGGAGCTTTGAATACAAAAATTTCCACTGCCTATTTAAGTGTACAAGATGAACACGGTGGGGAGGGAAAACAAGCCTGCATACTATGAACAGACAAAACACAAGGGTTCTAACAGCCACTCTAGGTATGTCGGAATTCTACTGCTTTCTCTGTTTAGTGCATATATTTGGTTTTTTTTCCCTCCTCAATTTAAATACTATTTGGAGAGTCAACCAAGATTTCTTTCAGTTTTGCAACATCCTGTAACTGCAAGAGAGATAAGCTCTCTATCCTTGAAACAAACACAGAGTTTGTTAGCTCTTCTATAGCTGGGCATCATCAATGAATCATTGTGTAACCTCAGTCACTCAGACCCTGATCCTGCAAATGCTCATCTGCAGTGGAGTTCTCATACACAGAGCTTTGAATGCAGATGTTGGAGAAACCGAGGCCTTAGCTCCCCTGGGTGTCAGTTTACCATCTGCACCACCACAGAACTCTTTCCACCCTTTGCAGGGTATTTTTCTGCATGTGCACAGAGCAGTGCCTGACTGGCATACGCTGAACAGCTTTCACATAAAGCCATAAAGTTAGTCCATTATCACATTTTAGAGCTTTGGACAAAGCATGCAGAAAATGAAATACTCTCAATAAGTTCAGCTGAGCCATGTTAAATCTAGGAAACTCTCCTCCCTCCACTGTATGTTACCACGGCAAAGCTACGCACCTGGAGCACCCCAGTCTGTGAGCACTACTGCAGACTGCTGCCCACACAACCACATGGGTAATGACCAATGGCACATGAGCTCCTGCACCTTCCTGCGACACTTCTGATTCACTACAACTGACCAAACTACGGAGGTGCTGTATGTGATCAGAAGTGGGCATTTTTATATACATCCAAAAGAGGCTCCTCTCCAGTAAAAGGCTGTCTTTGTCACTTTTGCTTCCCTGAAGAAAGCTGGGGACCTCCATTTGCATTGCAGAAGTGGAACCATTTCAGCGCGTGAGATCTAATAATACAAGTGCTCCAATAAAGTGGTTTTTCTGCTTCCCTTCCAAAGCCACCACTGTTTGTTGTTGGTTAACATTAAGGACTAAACAGCTGCTGTTCATTTTCTGTGAGGGTGCACACAAACCATCATCTGTAACAAGCATCTTAGGACAGTGACACATACATTGAATATTTGCCTTTCAAGATAAATTTCTAAAGATACAATGTAACCTACAGGACTAGCAAAACAGCAAATATAAGATGAAAAAAAGCCCCAAATTATTAAGGAAAAGATCGAGAAAACAAAGACTGAGGTCAGAATGATGTCAAATGTAGATGTTAATCCCTTAATACATCATTACATGCAGTCTACTTATTGAAATTGGTGTTTGCACAATTATTTATTCAATTTTTTCCACCTCAGGAGCGCCTGTGAAAAAAAAAACAAGCCAACACAGAAAGCCCCAAAAAGCTGCCCAATTCATACCTTTCGTGGTGTATTTATCCAGGCCAGATGACAAAAATGGGAATCGACAGAAACTGCCACAACTTCACAGTTCACATCATGAAATTCATTTGCTTTGTTGCTGAAAGCCACAATTTCTGTGGGGCATACAAAGGTGCTGGGTGGGAAGAGAGAACAGGCTGTAATGATTCTGCAGTCTTTTCAGAGAATTTTTTAGAAGGAATAATCTTTCATCTGTTTCTAGGCACTAACACAGCCACGTGTTTTATTTAGCCTGATAATTTTAATCATGTTTTCTCCTTAAGATGAGCTTCAGCCAGTCTAAAAGCAACAGCCACAGCCACCTAGCTGGTACACAAGCTTTCAGCTCTCAGTTCTAGACAGATATTTTGCAGAGCTAGAGAAACTGTCCCTGCTGGACACTCTCTAGACAGAGAGTTTTTGGAAACTCTAACAGAAATGATTGTAGGTTAAATTCTCCCTATGTGCTCAATTACACCAAACTTTGTCAGAACTGTCCAGGATGCTCCTGACAGTTCTGGAGAGGCTCAGCCCCATCTGTTCACCTTTTGCTCTGGAGCTGTCTAGCTGCAGTTCTGCTGGCCCTGCTGCTTAAAAAGAGAATCTCCAACACAACCTGGAACTGCAAGGCACTGCCCTCACCCCTGGGATCTGGCTGTAAGAGGAACCACACCTGCGAGGCCACATCTCTCTAGAAGATGCTCTCCAGCTACCAGGTCTATCGCTTTAGCACACAATGGCCACTTGCCCCCAGGTCTTATCAGTCATGCTCTAGAAACAGACACATCTGCCTTACAGGACTAGCCCGGATAAGGTAAAAACAGCCGCTTTGGCCAGCAAGGATCGGCAGCATTTCTGATGACCTTCAGCACGGGAGAAGGCCTGTCTGGAAGGAGAGAAACCTGCACTCACAAGTCCAGGGGGTAGAAGAAGAGAACGAGGTACTTCCCCTTGAAATCATCCAGGGTCAGCTCCTTGAACTCTCCGTTAACAACAGCCGTGCCTTTAAAAAACGGGGCCGCTTGTGTAACCGCTGGAGCAAACTGCGAGGAGCCTGAGGGAGAGAAAAACAGAGCTGCGGGCCAGGCCGGGGAGGAGAAAACAGAGCTGCGGGCC